CCAGCACTGCACCCCATAACCCCCCCACACATCAGCACGCACTGCCCCACACTCCCCACCAGGCCCCGGGTGCCGCGGGCCGGGCCCCTGCCCCGACTGGTCTTGGTGGTCTCTTAAGTGCCTTCAAAATCTTTGTGCCTTCTTCAAGGGTTGGGGGGACATGAGGGCACCCCGTGTCCCGGGGCTGGTCCCCCACCTCCTTCTCCCCATGGCCCCTGGGGGGGGGTGACATGGGGACATCGGGCAGGGCCAGCTCTCCCCCCTCCCCACTAATAAAAGGGTAGTGACCAGCCGGGTCGAGCCATCCATCCATCATCTCCAACCGGGCACCCATGGGTGCTCCCACCACCCCACACCGGTGGGGTTGGGCTGAGACCCCCCCACACTCGTGACGTGGGTGCCCATGGGGTTGGGGGAGGGACAAGAAGAGGCAGGGTGTGATCTGGGAGGGCTTTAATGGGGGGACACGGGGCCAAGGTGGCCCCCCACATCAGGAGAAGTCTTGCAGGAAGGCGGCGTGGAAGCGGGTGAGGGTCAGCAGCACCCGCTCCAGCGTCGCGGCCCGTGGCAGCAGGGACACCCTGGGGGGCGTGGGGGGGACATGGGTGATCCCACACCCCCCCCTCCACCCCACATTCCCCCTTCACCCAGCCCTGTTGCCCCCCAACCACCACCAGTGGTCCCTACCACCTCCTGCCCCCCCAGCTCCATCTTCCATGACGTCCTCGTTGGCCAACTTCAACTGGGCCCCTCCATAACTTGGTGTCACCCAGTCCCCAACGGGTGTCGCCCCCCTGAAATCCTACTACAACCCCCCCCTCGCCATGTTGTACCCCAGGATGACCATCTTGCCCCCCACTGAGAAGCTGAAGATCGTTCTGGAGAAGCTCAGCAGCTTCTACACCCCACACTCGTGACGTGGGTGCCCATGGGGTTGGGGGAGGGACAAGAAGAGGCAGGGTGTGATCTGGGAGGGCTTTAATGGGGGGACACGGGGCCAAGGTGGCCCCCCACATCAGGAGAAGTCTTGCAGGAAGGCGGCGTGGAAGCGGGTGAGGGTCAGCAGCACCCGCTCCAGCGTCGCGGCCGGTGGCAGCAGGGACACCCTGGGGGGCGTGGGGGGGACATGGGTGATCCCACACCCCCCCCTCCACCCCACATTCCCCCTTCACCCAGCCCTGTTGCCCCCCAACCACCACCAGTGGTCCCTACCACCTCCTGCCCCCCCAGCTCCATCTTCCATGACGTCCTCGTTGGCCAACTTCAACTGGGCCCCTCCATAACTTGGTGTCACCCAGTCCCCAACTCCAAACTTGTGGTGCCACCAGCACCCAGCCCCCAACCCAACCTCCCAGTCCCAACC